CCTTCTACAAGAGAAGATCGAAAGTCCTCATCCTGTAGACTGGAAGGACACTAAATCCAGAGACTGTGCAGTACTGTCAGCTATTATAGACTTGATCAAAACACAGGAAAAGGCCACTCCCAGGAACTTTCCACCACGATCCCAGGATGGATATTACAGCTGACAACTTTTCTGTGGTGGTCTGAAAAGCCAATTTGACAGCCATCTCCATCATAGTTTTAAATTTTGGGTTAGATGCCAAACCCTGGGACATGACTGATCTTCATGTGTAAGGTAGAACTCTTCAGTAGGTAGTAAAGACTTAATGTGCATGACTTAATGGTGTCTGTAGCTATTATAAATAGACCATAAAAAGCAGTATGTTTCTCTGTTCTCTGTTGTGGTCATGTCCACTCTTTGGGACTATATTCCCCTTATATATATTAAATGTTGTACCACTTGAGAAATTCCTTAATTCTGTTATACAAAATTAATCTTTCTATCCATAATGACTGAGTATAGACCCAGTAAAAACAGAATGGTCAGCCAAAAAGCTGCGTCAAGTAAGAATTTGAACACAACCATATTTTTTAAAATGAAACTTCTGTGAGAAGTAAATGAATTTGTTGTAATAAAGCCCAGTATTTAATAAAATGTACAATGTGTAAATCTCAGCTAACTCCTTGGATTGGTTTCTACATGTACACCTATCGCTTGGTTTGTTTGATATTTTTACTCTTTTTAAAGTATATATGTACCCCTTTTACATCACTGTCTATAGCAGAATGTAGCAATTCAGAGCATGAGTCTGGGGCCTGACTACCTGAGTTCCAGTCTCAGCTCTGTCATTTACTAGATGTCTTGGGCAAGTTACTTGGCTTTTGTTTCCTTTTCGTTATCTGTAAAATACAGTCGGCCCTTCATATCTGTGAGTTCCACATCCGTGGATTCAACCAGCCATGGATTGAAAATATTTGGGGAAAAAAAGGTAGAGGATTGTGTGTGTACTATACATGTACGGACTTTTCTTCCTTCTTATTATTCCCCAAACAATATGATAACTATTTATGTAGCATTTATATTGTATTAGGTATTATAAGTAATCTAGAGATGATTTAAAGTATACAAGAGGATGTGCCTAGGTTATATGCAAATGCTATGCCTTTTATGTAAGGGACTTGAACATGTGTGGATTTTAGTATCCATGGGGGTCCTGGAGCCAGGACGACTGTACAGGTAACAATCGTGAGGAGGAAATATGTTAATATGTGTAAAGCACATAAGCTAGTGCCTGGCACATAGAGTATTCTCTCTGAATCTTAGTTATTATTTAATGTATAACAATCCATTATTAATACACTTTTTTTCATTGCTGCTTTAACCCTTTTAGCCAGTGGAGGCTAGTGTGACAACATGTACTGTACATTTTCAGCTCTGTCAGATTGTGACAGATACTATTGGTGGTTGTCCAACAGCCATTTTGCCCCTTCTAAAGAATGCTTACCTTGTTCTGGTGGTTTCCCTGCTGCTTAGCTTTGTGCTCACGTTTGTTGGACCCTCTTCCTCAAGAGCAAATCAGATTCTAAGCCAGTCGTGTGGTCTTATTCCCCTTGTAAGTAATTGGTAGGCATGTATATGTGAACCTCTCCTGGCCAGTGACAGCTGAGAAGTAATCTTCAAGGGAGTGTCTGAGAAAGATTTTTCTCACTTTGAGGAAACTCTGCTGTTTGTTTGGACATTGTCTTGTCTGAATCTGATACTTGGAACTGCTGCAGCCAACTTATGATCACAAGGGTAGGGTACACAGCCATAAACTCAGGGTGGCTCAGTGGAAAGATAGAACTTACCAGAGTCCTTTATAATGCTGGTGAGCTGCAGAATTAAGCAACTCTGGAACTGCTCTACAAATGAACTTATTTTGATATAATAAAAAGCCTTCATTGTTTAAACCACTTTTAGTAGGGTATTTTTAACTTGGCAAAAAGGGTATTAACTAAAATTTACACTATCCATCATTGAGTGTTAACTTGCTGAGACATCTGTTTCTACTATTTATTAATATTTTGCGATATAACAGTTGTGACCCTTGTCTCACAAAAGGTATAAAAGTGCTGGACGTACTGCAAAAATAAACAGGAAAAGCATCCTGCTGCACTCTAAAAAATGCAAATTTTATTGTGCCTTCCCATAAACGCAAGGAAACCAAAGGAATAAGTATCATACAATTACTATGATGTATTGATAATGCTACAGAGATCTGTTAACAGCACTGATTCAGGTACTGTTACCATTTCTGGGAATGTATGCCACCTGTCATTGCCTACCAAGGGTGTGAATGTGCTGTGTGTCCCAAGTCTGTTTTCTTGGCTGCACTTCTCCCAAAAGTGATCTGTCTCTCAATTCTGGCATTGAGTCATGCCACAATAGTGTAGCATACTAGTTTTGCCCCTAAAGTCAAGGTGGTCATCTGGTCTGGTCTTATTTGCTCTATAAGAGTGTTTATCTTTATGCTTTTTTTCTTTGCTTTTACTATCTAGTTTCAATTCACAAAGTCACTTGGCCAAAATGGTCTTGGAAGAAAGCATTTAAAGATTCTGTTAACTCGCATTAGGGAGTTAAAGGGGGGAAAATATATGTATACACATATGTATAAAAATAAAAAGATTCTATAAAAAAGATTATTGGATCCATGTTTGCAAACCAATATTTAATCTCATATGAATGGGGAAGATGCTCCTGAAGAATTATTTAATAGATGAAGTATTCACAGGGATTAAAGTGCAGTTACTGTCACCTCCAGTGTGTGTCTTCTCTATAACTGATCAGGATGGAAATTTTAATTCAAGGTGCTATTTATGTTCTGAGTTTTTTTTATTGTTTACAAAATATGGCATTACTGGAGTGACAAATGTATTCCAGATCTAAGAACTATTTGTTCTTTAGTGGTCTTAAGAGATAAGACATTAAATTAAGAAGGAAAATCTGTTTGTCTTACCATTCCGAGCAGTGCAGAGGATAACTCTTCAAAAAAAATAACTCTGAAACAGAAATTTAACCTGAAAAAATGAGAGAAATAAAGCACAATAATCTCTAAAAATGCATCTTTAAAAGTAAGTACATGTAATGCCTTCCTAATTAATTAATTTGGACAAAAGCTCTAGATAAACTTATACCAGTTATTACAAGTTATTCTCTATTCTTACTGCATTTTTAAAGTAAAGTCCACTCTAAGAGTTATGAATTATAGAAAAGCTTTAGAAGGAATTTATTTGAGTACTCCCTCACCCAAAGTAAGTAAGTTTTTCTTCTATTCTTAGCTCTGAGTTTGTTTATATATAAAAGTCATTGTGATCATGTTGTATAATCATATTTCTAATATGCTAGTTTTTAACTGACATTTTATTCTATTTTAAAACAATACATCCTTACTGAAGAATATTTGGAAATTCAACAAAGTTAATCATCTTACCATTTTTTTACATTTTAGTATATTTCCATACTTTTTGTTAAGCTTTAAGGTATTATTATTTTATATATAATAAAACTAACCAACTTAAGTGTATAATTCAGTGAATTTTGTTAAATGTATAAAAATCATGTAATTACCACCACCACAATCTTAATATAGAACATTCCCATCATCTAAAAATTTCCCTTGTTTTTTTGTAGTCAAACTCTTGCCCCTACTTCTACCCCTGGCAACCATTAATCTGGTTTTTGTCACTATAGTTTTGCCTTTTCTAGAATCTCAAATAAATGGAATCCTAGGTAGTCTTTGGTGTCCAGCTTCTTTCACTTAACATAATGCTTTTGCGTTACTCATGTTGTTACATGTATTAGCAGTTGGTTCCTTTTTTATTGTTTAGTATCGCATTATATGGTTCTATCACAGTGTTTATTCATTTACCAGATGATGGACATTTGAGTTGTTTTTGGTGTTTTGCTATTATAAATAAAGCTGCTATGAACATGTACATACAAGTCTTTGTGTGGTTATATGTTTTCATTTCTCGAGTAAATACCTAGGGTTAAGATTGCTGTATCATATGGTAAGTGTGTTTAACTTTATAAGAAACTGCCAAACTGTTTTTAGAATTGGCTGTACCGTTTTATATTCCCAAAAGCAATGTGTGAGGGGTCGAAGTGTTTCACATCCTTGCCACTACTTTGTATTTTTAGCTGTTGTTTTGTTTAATGTTAGCCTTTAGTGAACGTGGAATCCTATCTCATTGTGGTTTTAATTTATATTTCTATAATGATTAGTGACGAGCATCTTTTCTTTCATGTGCTTGTATGCTGTTTTCCTTAGTTGTCTTACACACTTCTATATGGATTTTAATTTTCTTCCTTATGTGTTAAGTGATTGGGGAATGCAGAAAGTAATTATTTACATTCCTTAAGGTTGAAAATGGCCAGATGTGCTACTCTTGACTTGGCTGCTACAGTGTAAAGAGTTAAGCCATTGTTATCAAGTGCCAGAAGAGAAAGCACCAGTTTTAGGTAGTCATGATGGCAAGAGATTGCATATTCACCACGACGTGAAGAATAGTGCATGAGAAAAAGATATTTCTTTGTGTTGGGAAAGGCAAGAGAGCTAAGGAAAACAGCTAATATAATATGGAAGCACTGCATAGCCAACCTTACCTGTGGATTATAGGATCAAGCCAGTTAGGAAGCTTCTTTGTAAATTGTGATTACCCTTTCTAGTTCTTAAATTTGATTCATGTCTTAATCTTTTTTTCAAGAAGAAGACAATGAGTGGCATATTTCTGAGTCCTTGCGTGGTATATTATCTTTACACAATGAAGGCAACTTAATTAGGAATAAAATTCATTTTAACAAAGTTTTAATGAAATAGTGATTCCTTAGTGATTTTCTAGGCCTTCTAGCTGTAGGTTTATTTTAAATATTTCAGTTTTTTTCCATAGCTTCCATTCACCCCATTTTCTCTTAATGGCTATTTCTCTTGTTAAATTAGATAGTTCTGTTATTTTTAGTTCTGGAAGCTATTTTTTTTCTTGATTTTCAGGCAAAGGTGGAATAGACCTACCTCTAATATTTTTGTGGTGTCTGAAGTTAGAATACAAAGGGAGGCCAATATGCTATTAATAGATCTCTAAATATTTTTAAATTTAAATCAGTTTAATCAATTTGAATCAAATGTCCTATACTGAAAAATATATATTCATACTGATGAAAGATGGTATAAAACAATATCAAAGATGAATTTTAGCCCTAGTTTGCTGTTTTTCCAAATATTCATTTTTGCATGAGTTGATATAACCATATGAGTTTTTTTTTAATATGGTGGATTGCTGTCTTAGTCTGTTTTTTGTTGCTATAACAATACCATAAATTGGGTCATTTATAAAGAAAAGAAATTTCTAAAGTCCAAGAGCATGGTGCTAACATCTGTTGAGGGCCTTCTTGCTGCATCATGACGTAGCAGAGGGCATCAGATGTCCAGAGGACAGGAGCATGCATGTCAGCTCAGGTCTCTTCTTACAAAGCTGCCATTCCCATCATGGGGGCCCTATCCTGATTACCCTATCTAAGCTTAATTACTTTCCAAAGGCTCCATTTCCAATCAACATGAATTTGAGGATTAAGTTACCAACACATGAAATTTTGGAGACATTCAAATCGTAGCAATCACATTAATTGTTTTTCAAAT